CACTAATGTGCAAAAACAAAATTGAAGGTATAAAACATGTTAGTAAAATTATGGTCATGAATATACTCAGAATACTCTAATACTGTAATAGTAGTGTACAATCCATTTATAACTCTAATATGAAGCCCCCAAAAGCAAATGTATCAAAAATAATAATAGCTACAGCAATCTGTTAAGAGAGAGGTAATATAAAAATATGTAAAGTAAGTCAATTAAAATTCAAAATAAGAGGGAAATGAAGTTAAAATGTGGAAGTTTTGTTTTTTCTTTGTTTCTATTCTTTGTGATCTAAGGTAAATTGTCATTTCTTTTAAATAACTTGTTATAGCTATAAGACTTTTTTTGTAAACCTCACAGTAATGATGCAAAAACCAATAATAGATTCACAAAAATTAAAAAGCAGCAAATTAAAAACATACCACCACAGAAAATCACTTAACCACAAAAGAAGGGAGTAATAAAAAAAGAAAGAGAGGAGTTTCAAAATACTAGAAAAAAGGAAACAAAATGGCAGTAGTAATTCCTTACTGATCAGTAATAACACTGGATTTAAATGGACTCAATTCTCCAGTTAAAAGGTGTAGGGTGGCTGAACGGATAAAAAAACAATATCTAACTTTATGCTACCTATAAGAAACCCACTTCACCTCTAAAGATGTAGATAGACTGAAAGTGAAGGGGTGAAAAAAAGATATTTCATGTAACTAGAAACCAAAAATAGCAAGAGTAACTATACTTATGTTAGCAAAAGTAAACTACAAGTCAAAGATTGTAAAAAGAGATAAAGAAGGTTACATAACGATAAAAATGTCAATTCAGCAAGAAAATATAGCGATTATATATCTGTGCACCAACAATGATAGAGCTACACAAAGATAACTATAAAAAACTGATTAAAGTAATTGAACAGAACATTTAAACAAGAATATTTCTATGTCATGGATTGGAAAAATTAATATTGCTAAAATGACAATACTATCCAAAGCTATTTACAGATTTAATGTAATTTTTATTAAAATACCAACATTATTCTTCACAGAAATAGAACAAATGCTAAAATTTATATGAAACCATGAAGACCCTGAAAACCAAAAGCAATTCCAAGCAAAAAAACAAAAAATAAAAACAAACAAAGCTGGAGCATCACATTACCTGACTTCAAAAATTACTGCAAAGATACAGTAACCAACTATTCACAATAGTAAAGACATGGAATCAGTCCAAATGCCCATCAATGATAGACTGGATAAAGAAAATGTTGTACATATACGTCATTAAATACTATGCAGCTATAAAAAGAATGAGATCATGTCCTTTGTAGGGACATAGATGGAGCTGGAAGCTGTTACCCTTAGCAAACCAACACAGGAAAAGAAAACCAAACACCGCATATTTTCACCTATAAGTGGGAGCTGAATGATGAGACCATACGGACACATACTGGGCTTGTTGTGGGTGGAATGTTGCAGGAGGGAGAGCATCAGGAAGAACAGCTAATGCATGCTGGGCTTAATACGTAGGTGATGGGATGATCTGTGAAGCAAACCACTATGGTACACATTTACCTATGTAACACACCTGTATATCCTGCACATGTACCCTGGAGCTTAAAATAAAAATTAAAGATTTAAAAAAAAAAGCTATAGTAATCAAATTAGCATAGTACTGGCATGAAAATAGACATATAGATCAATAGAACCCAATAGAGAACCCAGATATAAATCCGTGCATTTACAGCCAACTCATCTTCAACAACAGCACCAAGCATACAATGGGAAAAAGACAGTGTGCTTAATAATAGTGGGGGGTAAACTGGGTAATTACACACTTAGGAGGATGAAACTAGACCCCTATATCTAACTGTGCAGAAAAGTAAAATTAAAATGGGTTAAGGGTTTAAATCTAAGACCCGGAACTGTGAAACAATTAGATGAAAACTTTAAGGAAGTGTTCCAGAACATTAGCCTGCGCAATGGGATGTTGTGTAAGACCTTTAAAGCACAAGCAACCAAGCAACAATAGACAAATGGGATTGAATCGTTCTAAAAAGCTTCTGCACAGCAAAGGAAACAATCAACAATGACTTAAGGTCCTGTAGGGGGGGATTTGTTAAGTATAATCACAATGGAGGCCATAGTATATCCCTAGGTCAATCACCCACAGCCACATAACCAAAACTTAAGCTATCCTGATTTCACTGAAATGCAATCTCTAACCATTAACAAAAGTTAAGGTTGATAAAATTGAAACAAACTGTACAGACAAATGCCCTTATGCAGCTCTACTTGTCCAAAAAGGAATATGCTTTTTATAGCCAGTCACGATAGAGGTCAACACACTTCCTCATTAATGCTTTAGAAACTGCACTGTAACTTTCCTGTCAAGTTTCTTACCACTTTTGATTTCAAGTCTTCCAGTTCGTGAACTATTCTTTTTTATGTACAATAAACTTTCATATTCCTTTTTTACTTAACCTGACTTTATTTTTATGGGATCCTCCATGGAGTTTGGGCTTCTCACAGTGTGGCAGTGTCAGGGTAATACAGTAGTACTATTTACCTGACAGCTGTCTTCTATGAGCAAGGTTTCCGAGAGAAAGGAAGTGGCAGTTCTTGTGGTCTGGAACAGAAAGCCCACACAATATGTCTTCAGCAATATTCAGTAGGTTACGGGAGTCACAGAGCCCACTCAACTCAAAGGGAGAAAACATAGGCCCCTTACTTTCCCTTAATACAGCTCATGATGATGAGAGTGTCAAAAAGTGCTTGTGGCAATATTTATTTCACCATAAAGAGAAAGGTCAATTTGGATCAGAAAGGTCAGAAAAAGTTGTATAGGGAAGGTAGTTGATAAGCCGGTTTTAAAGGATATGAAGCATTTGAAAAGGTAGAGTGTGGATAAGGCTGGAAATATCAAATATCTAAATATAGAAGAGGAACAATGATGAAAAGACTTTCAAAATGCTTAGCAAAATGAGAATTATATTTCTTTCTCAACTTGTTTTGCTCTAACAGCAAAAGCAACATTGGGGATCAGCATCCACTTGGGCAAGTGAGTTTTTTCTGGTCATAAACAGGCTGATTCGGCTGAAAAAATGTTTCTTTTTAAGTTCAGCTCATTTGAAGAAGGGTGAATTTGTTTCTAAGGATTTTATGAGACGAACGGGGAAAGGTCAGTCAGAGTTTAGTTTGATATGAGAAGTGCTTACTGTACACTATCTAATTACAGGGAAATGTGTACAGTTAGTCCCGAGACCGGATGCGGGGTAGCAAAACAGAGGCGTGATGAAGCCGCCATTGTTCAGGCAATTTGGGTTTACCAAGCCCTGAGAGGGTCACAGTGTGTAAGATTTAGTCCTGGAAGGCATCGTTTAAAGTTTCATTCAAAAGTTTATTTCATTCACTGTTTAAAGTTTCATTAATTATGGTTAATCATTTTAACCATAATTTTCTGAAGAGGCTTTTCTGAGATTTGTCATTCACAGATAAAAAGTTGTCTAAGTTAATTTCTCTGTGTGTGTGCAAATGTGCATGCGTGCATGTGTGCCTATTCAGCCTATTTTGAACACAATGAGTGGCACCTGGTAGATGATACTGTTGAATGAATTTTATCATTCATATTCTGTCACTCCCAATTTGAGGAATCGACATTCTTTTTCCAAAGTTTTGCGATTATAATACTAAACTAGAAACTGGCATGTTTTAATAATAGGTACCAATAAAAAATTAACTATCCTTGTCTGGAGTAAGTATAGGTTTTGTTAAATAGTTCAGTTTTCAGAATTTGTATTTTACTTTCTTTCTAATCCTTTTCTTTAAACGCTGTTAGATTTTTAATTTAAGAATGTGAAAGCTGAACTCCAAAAAATAAAGGGAGAGGAGACAAAGCTCATGAAAATCTTTAAAATACCTTTTATGTGTTATAACATCCCGGAGAGAAATCAAATCAATGTATTTCAATGTTATGACGGAGATTTCTCCGTCCACCTTCCCACCACCCCCAAGCTCCCGTAAAGCACTAATTAGTTGTTTTATTTAATTTGGTCCAGAGCACTGAAAATGCCAAGTTACAGCCTCGTGGGTAAGAGACAGCATTATCTTAAACAGTGTTCGAATTTAACAAAGGTCAAAGTCTTTGTGCAGTTTATCTACTCTCTGTCGCTATTGTTTCTTGAGCTCTAGGTGGCTTCTCAGTAGCTGCTAGGCTTAACAAACAAAAATAAAGTAAAATCAACCGGATATGGGGCCTTGGGACTCTGAAACCTTCATTCGGAGAAAATCAGTTAAGCCTTCAGAGGCTCGAAGAGAGGGCGTGTGCGACTGGCAGGCAAAGCAAAGAAAGATTAGTTCAAGTTGTCTGACAGCTGGAGAGAACCTTACACCTGCGCAAAAATAAGCCTCTGTCATAAGAGAAAAGTGTCTTCTATATTCTCATGCGTCCCATCAAAGTAAATTAGTGAACCCTGCCTCAGGCGAAGTGCAAAGGCCAGTCTGCAGGGAGAGTTTCAACCTCTCCCCAGGAGCTAGGGTGGACATTGTGGTTAACCTACCGCAAGTTAGCCTAACTCCATCTTAGGTGTGAGCCTGAGTATCTCCATCTTAACCCCCCTTCACTCGCAATCCGGAATGCGCTTACTGCTAAGGTACCGAGTCAAGCTGTACCATCTCCACTTAGGAATGTGCCTGCTTAGAATACAGAGAGCCCTTCGCCCGGCACCACTTGTCTCTTAACTTTTGCTTGCTCTGCTTCTGTAAAAATTTGCTTCAGCCAAGCTCCCCCTCCCCTCCTTTAAGCCAGGTATGAAAACAAACAAAGCCCATTCTACGGGTCTAAGAGAATTTTGAGCGTTAGCGCAGAGGTCGCCGGCAAAGAAAGGACTCCTGACTCAGTCTCAAAATGTGGCGCTTTCCTTCAGCTCGCTCGGGTTCAGCATCACCTGCCCAAGCTCTCTCCCGAGCGGAGAGGGAGGAGGCCGGAGAGGCCGCCGGGAGGTGGAACGCACATCCGGGCCCGCCAGCAGCCGGCTAAGGGCTGCATAATTGATGGAGGGCCGGGCGCCGAGAGACCGTCTCCGGGGAGTAGTGCAAGACGGCCGGGCCCCTCCCATTCCGCCTTTTCTCCAGCGTCCCGTCCGCGGCACTGGCAGCGGGCTCCGGGCCACCGGCGAGTGTGCGCAGGGTCTCCCGGCACCTGCGAGCCGAGGGAGCTCTCCACCTGGGCCGAGGCGGACCCCCGGCGCCATGCGCGCCCTGTCCGGCCTGCTGGGGGCCAGGGCGCCTACGCCCCGGCTGCTCCTCCTCCTCCAGTGCCTTCTCGCTACCGCGCGCCCAGGCTCGGCCGACGACAGTGCCCCAGGTGTGATGGGTACAGCGGCGGGGTATAGAGGGCAAAGGGCGCGCAGGAAGGGGCGCACGCGGCTCGGGTCCTCGCGGGCGGAGGGCATCGCCGGCGCGCGGGGCAAAGGTGGCGGGGAGAGGCGCGGGGATGTTGGCCAGGGCGGGTGGGAGAGGCGGCGGCCTCCCACTGGCTACGCTGTGTCACCTAAGCTGAACCCTGGAACCGGGGCGGCTCGCTCTCCTGCGCTCTTTGGGGCGAGTCTTGAACAAGCAGCGCCCCGCGAGTGGGGCGCGTAGGTAATAGGGCAGAGTCCGGTTTTTCCTAGGAAGAGGGCGGTGGGTTGTGTGGGTGGATGCGGGAGCCAGCTAACGACTTGACTTGTGCAAATGTGCCATGAATTTTGAAAGTCACTTTTCCCCAAGGCCTACTGCCTTCTCTTGAATGAGAGTAAGGCTAGAGTATCACCACCTTCCCTCCTCTTGGGCCGTGGGTTGGCTTTGAGGATGTTTTCTTTTAGAGCTGAGTGGGAGAAAAAAAAAAGCCATCATAATCAACCAACCAGCCAACTAAAGACCCGCAACTTACAGGATAATATGTGTGTATTTTCATTTTACACTGTGGTCTTTGCAAGGAAAATTGTGTGTGATTGTTACCTGTTTTATTGTTTAAGACAGTTTGACAGAGGGATTAAATGCAAAACATTACCAAAGCCAACACGAAAGTTGCCATTTTCCCTTCACTGGTTTATAATTACTGTTCATGTTGAAAGGATTGCATTCAACCTATTGCAGATTTCTGTGTCATAAATGTTAGCAGCCAGTAAGGATAATAAAACGCCACCACCTCTCAAGCTGGTAAATACTGGCCATCAGTAACTAAAATTGGGACATTATTCTGCATAAAGTTTTCGAACTTTCATAGGAATTTATTTTCATGGGCTTATAATATGTGGAATTTTTGTAACACACCATAGAGAGGGAAGGATAATCAAAAAATAAGACTATTAATTTATATAAATATCTTTTAAAAGGTCTAGTTGTTAAGAACTTGGACAGAACATCTTGGGTTGCTTCAGTTCTAAATTTCCGTGCACCACATCTCTTTTTCCATCGTGCCATTTGTAAAGGATTGTATGGAATCCCAGCACTTTTGGATGGTGAGGTGGGAGGACGGCTGGAATCCAGGAGTTCAAGACCTTCCTGGGCAACATAGCAAAACCCCTTCTCTACAAAAAATTTTAATAAGTGCGGTTGTGGTTGTGGTGATGTACACCTATAGTCCCAGGTAGTTGGGACGCCGAGGCAGAAAGATTGCTTCAGCCCAAAAGTTTGAGCCTGCAGTGAGTTATGATGGTGATGGTGCCACTCCTGACACAGCGAAACTGTCAAAATAAATACATGAAAGAAAGAGGGAGAGAGAGAGGAACAGAATTGTCCAGGACATTTTTCCCTCTTCTGGGTATCGGGTATCCTCAATTCTTCTATCCCTGGTTCACCTCAGAGTATTGCAGTTCTGGGAACAAGGGCATTCAGTATTCATTGTAGAACTGATTTTCCACTTGCCTGTATGTCAGAATCACCAGAGAGCTTGAAATATCCTGATGCCTGGACCTTGCCCTACAGTACTCTGGTTCATTTGGCTTGGGATTCAATGTGGGCATTAAGAGTTTTGGCTGGGCGCGGTGGCTCAAGCCTGTAATCCCAGCACTTTGGGAGGCCGAGGCGGGTGGATCACGAGGTCAAGAGATCGAGACCATCCCGGTCAACATGGTGAACGAGTGCCTGTAATCCCAGTACTTAGGAGGCTGAGGCAGGAGAATTGCCTGAACCCAGGAGGCGGAGGTTGCCGTGAGCCGAGATCGCGCCATTGCACTCCAGCCTGGGTAACAAGAGCAAAACTCCGTCTCAAAAAAAAAAAAAAAAAAAAAAAAAAAAGAGTTTTAACACCTCCCTATGTAGCTTTAACCATGGGATTCTAAGCCAGTTGAAAATCCCAGCTTTAAAATGATGTGGCCTAGAGAGTACACTGTTAGGTAGATCCTTAGCTCCACTTAAGCTAAAATTGTGGAATAACATACAAGACAAAAGTTATGAAGTTAGCATCGAGTTTAAGTCAGGATTAAAAATTGTCTTAAATTCTAGGAAACAAGCTGACAGTGTTTTCTAGATTCTGTATGGATCTCTGTGAAATTCAGTTTTCTCTTTGCCAAATAATATTGTGAGATTTACTGGATAGTTTTTACCTAGATGCATAGAATTACATACTTGGACATGGGTTTTCTGTTAACCTAAGTTTTTGAGCCAAATGTTAATAATAAGAATAGTTATAAATAGTTACAGTATAGCTCCATGAGTTAGCTTTTTAAAGTCTCAGCTAAAAAAAAAGAAAATAAAGAATTGTCAGGACATTTTTCTCCCTTCTCGGTATCCCAGTTCTTCTATCCCTGATTCACCTTTTGAAATTTACCTCAGAGTATTGCAGTTCTGAGAACATCTGCACTCCTGGGGGATTCTCGCACTGTCACTCAGGCTGGAGGGCAGAGGCACGTTCATGGCTCACTGCAGCCTTGACCTTCTGGGCTCAAGATGAAGAAATTGAGGCTTAGGTTAAGTAATTGCCCAAGTACACATATTTAGTTAAGTAGCAGAGCAGGAAATTTGACATTGGTCAATCCAGTGCCTGTTTTCTTAAACACAGTGCTTAGACACAATATCCAGTTGTCTCTCTGAGCTAATTGGAAATGTCTATGAAAATTGAGAACTACTGACAGAAGAGCATGTGCGTTTAAATGTCTGATTTGCGCTGAATGACGTGCTGACACAGCTTGAGTCCTGGAATAAAATTAGGTACAGGGATTCCTTTAAGGTTTTTTGATTAAATAAGAATTTTTTATCATTTTAAATGATCCTTTTAACTTCCAGAGGATGTGGCTTTTGCACTCCCTTTATGAACCCCCTTCCCCACTGGCCCCTCACCACAAACAGCAGATTTCTAGTAATAAATATTTTTCAAACAAATATTATTCAAGCACCCACATATGTCTGACATTGGTTAGTCCATATCTCAGTAGAACATGCTAGCAGTTTTTATCTTTAATTAATTAATTAATTAGAGATGGAGTTTCACTCTTGTTGCCCAAGCTAGAGTACAATGGCGTGATCTTGGCTCACCACAGCCTCCGCCTCCCAGGTTCAAGCAATTCTCTTGCCTCAGCCTCCCAGGTAGCTGGGATTATATACGTGTGCCACCATGCCTTGCTAATTTTGTATTTTTTGATAGAGATGGGGTTTCTCCATGTTCGCCAGGCTGGTTTCCAACTCCTGACCTGAGGTGATCCACCTGCCTCGGCCTCCCAAAGTGCTAGGAAAGCAGGCATGAGCCATTGCGCCTGGCCCAGTTTTTACCTTTAAATACATTTAAACTGCTTAAAGGAAACAGATTAACCATAAGCCTACATTTATTTATTTATTTAATTTTTGAGACAGGGTCTCACTTTGTCACTCAGGCTGGAGTGCAGAGGCACACTCAGCTCACTGTAGCCTTGACCTCTGGGCTCAAGGGATCCTCCCACTTCAGCCTCCTGCATGGCTGGGACTACACACCCAGCTAATTTTTGTATTTTTTTTTTTGTAGAGATGGGGTTTTATCATGTTGTTTAGGCTGGCCCTGAACTCCTAAGCTCAAGTGATCCTCCTGCCTTGGCCTCCCAAGATGCTGGGATTACAGGCGAGAGCTACTGTGCCCAGCCTAAGCCTACCTTTCGTAGCGATGTTTTTGAGGCATTAGAATTTTTACCTGAAATTAATCGTCATGATAAAATTATATGTTTAAAACATTTGCTAAGAATTAGGGCAACTGACTGTTTCTCATCTTCTGTCACCCTCACTCCTTTTCTTCCTTCCCCCTCTCATCTTTCACTCAATAGGTCCTGTAGTTATTGGGTGGGGAAGAGCAAGGAGACATCCTCACTGAGTGGCTGGAGCCCAAAGGGCCCAGATAAGGTATCTGAGGCTGAGCCTGGTAAGGATGGCATCCAGGTAGGAGGGCAGCCTGGTGTGGAGTGGTAGAGCCTGAGCACAGTGAATGGGTACTTCTGCATCTGGCAGCTTGACACAGGGTCCCAGAGTTGAGCAAGTTAATAAGGCTTTGTGCGGGAACAGCAGCTGAGTGATGTCTGATCCTAAACAAGATGTGGAGGTAAAGCATGTAGGAGGGTCAGACCAGTGATGATGGTTGGAGCCTGAGTGGGTAAGGAAGACATATCTGTGGGGACAGGTGTGGCAGTGGCAATAAGAGTTTAGTCATATACAAGGTGATTGATCAAATAATTAAATCTAGAAAAAATAATAAGATCTAGGCTTTTCACTAGAGAGGAATGCAATAAAGATAGGGGTAAAAGTAGAATGAATTCTGTGGTGTTGGATTGCAATTGGCAGTATCCGTGTGAATCGATGACATTAAATCTCTATCTCTTCATCTATGTCTATATCTATAGGTATGTAGACTTAAGTATATGTGTAAATATATGTATGATGAATATATATGCATATCATATACATATATTTATGTGATATACAAGTTGTTTGTGTGTGTGTCTATGAATGTGTGCACATGTATTCTTAGCAGTGATTTCCAGTAGTGATGCGTATACTTAGCACACAGAGCTTGGATTCTAAATACTGTTCTTTACTTATAGTAACCAAAGCTTCTTGGAGAAATGGCTGATTTCAGGGCCACAGTGGGAAAGTAGTAGGTAAGCGTAGAACATCTTGTGCGAGAAAGCAATGAAGTTCTCAAAGAATAATGAGTTATGTCAAAAAGATACAGGAGCCGACATGAAGGGGTTTCCCACTGGACAAATCTGGGACAAACTGAGCGTCAAAATAAATAGTAATATTAGTGGATTGTAGCACATTTACTAATATGGGGATTCATGAGTACCAGCCGATGTAAATTAAAAAATGAATCAATGAAAAGTTCGATGAGGTACAAAGTATTAAAGATTCAAAGTAACTCTT